TATCCTTTTCAATATGCTTTAAAATTAATAAACATAGTGAAAAGTATTTAACCAATCAGAAATGAAGTGTGAGATTTATATAATATTAAAATTCAAACTTATATTAATTTTGAAGTAATTAAAAATATTATTGAAAGGAGACTCAAGGTAGAGCTAATAAGAAGATAATCAAAGATTGGAAAGAATAAACAATTGAGATGGACCTTGAATAATAGGATAGATATTTGCATTAGAATAGAGAATCCAATTGGAATGTTAAACAATTCCAATTTAAATTTGAACAAATAAAAGACTTAATAAATGAAAAATACAACTAGATTGAGCAAAATTATGAGGATTAAGACGGATTATGTTGAACTATAAATAATGGACCAACTTTACAAATAATTTTGGAGGGATATTAAGGAGCAAATAGAGGTAGAAAAGCATAAACTGTGCTTGAAAAAGAAGGGTAGGGTAAGTTGTCTAACTACTTGAATAGATACATTAAAATATTATTAAATAATAGAACTAAATATGGAGGCTTGTGATATTAAATAGGATCATGGAACACTATTACAATAATAATATTTTAAGACTTAAATAAAAAAAATCTAAAATCTGTACATCATTAAAAATTATTAATATTATTTTTTTCATTGGCTGTAAATGTATTTAAACGGGAAAAAATAAATTATTTTTAAATTCCACATATTCTGTTCCAAAATTAATAAAAACAGATGGTAAATATTAGGTTAAAGATTAATAATCATATGTAAGAGAATTAAGGTTAAGAGAAAATATTGTATCTAATCATATCGCATTGCTTTTAGTATTCATCTAAATTAATAAATCCAAAGTATTATGAAATAATTTTCCTTAATTTAGTTTAAGCTCAGATTCCTTAATATGAGGATTAACTTTGAGGCTTTGATACAGAGATGAAGGGACCTACTTACAGCATTGGCCAAATCATAGATAAGTATCAATACTTCAACATTTCTTAGATATGTTGAATAGAAAACTATACAAATTCAGCAAAATTAACCTTCTTTTGCGATTTAACTTTGCAACCATATTGCAAAAATACCAGTAAACTTTCTATTCCCATATACTGAGGAAAATATAATTTCCCAATTCATATTCTAATTATATAGTATCTACCAGATTTTTTGTCAAACTTACAAAATAATTACCTGAGAAATTTTTTAGCACTAATCATTTACGCACCTCATCTTCTTGGCATTTAAGCATCCCTTTTCAATTTAAAAAAGTAAAGATTTGCAATTGCGGTTCACTTATAAACTAAAAATAAGGTATGGAGGAGCAAATCATGCATTAGGTTCTAAGGATGACTATATTCATTAAAGCACTTATAAACTTAACACAACTGATAATTCATCTTAATGTTCTTTGACTTTCATTTCTTATAAAATATCTTTTGGTTTTCAGTATATATATACAATGTATTTTGATCGATTATTATGGTTGTAAATTAGTTCCATTTAATTACATTTTATAGTGAATAAAAATATAAATGATCAGTTCAGGAATAGGAACTCAAAAATTATATATGAGATGAAGGAATAAGAATAAAATGTAAATTGTACTTTTACATGATATTTGGCTTCATAGATCATAGTTAGAAACTATAAGGTTGCTAAATTTATATTAAAGAAAATCGAATGAGGAGGGAGTTAAACAGAAAAGTTGAGAGAATATACTTATATCCTGAAGGAAGAAAAAGGATAATTAAAGCGAACAATCAAATGTTCGGAAATAATTTCGACAATGAGATGTATCAATAGAGAGAGTTAATTAACCCTTTGCATCAAAGGTTATTGTTTAAGTTTAAACCTAAAAGTAATAATAATTGAGAAAATCCCAAACAATTCATATAAATCAATTAAGTTAAAATTAACAATGTATATAGGAAATTATGAACTTTATATAATCTAACAAGGATGTTAGCTATCAGCTTTTCGAGGTTATCTATTACTTGATGGAATTAAAGGAAATAAGAATAATATTAATATCATGATATAATAAGAAATACATTGTTGATAAATATCAATTTTCAAATTATCAGGAGATAAACGTTATATATTTGAGGAAAAAGTGAAAATTATTAGATTCAAATTTTTACTATCGACTCTTACGAATAAATTGAGTTGGATCAGCAGTGATGATTTATATCAAGAGACTTCATGGGAAGCTAAGAGAAGTATGTAAATTACAAAATACTTTAAAATTTGCTGACACCTAAAATTAAAGGAAACTAGAAGGGTGACCTTAAGTATACTTTAAGATAGAACATTTCAAATTCAAAAAGGTCCTAAGATGAGTTTCAAGACATATTAGTGAAATGAATATATTCTGCCTAATTTGACTACAGAAATAACAGGTAACCTGAATTTTACCGTTATTCCTAGATTAGATAGGATGGTATTGAAAGTTGATAGAATAATCCAACTATTGCTAAAATGATTCTGTTTAGACTAAATATGAATTAAATATCTAAATAAATTAATTTAGGGATCATGGTTTTAAAATAATTCTATACGACTAAAAAATATAGTTCAAAGGAACAAGAAAGGACCTTTAAAGGTTTTAGTATTCAGCATTACAATTAATGAGGACTATAGAATATCTTCCGACACCTAAAACCCAATAAATTTATTGGTGGAGAATGGAGATGAATGATTCTGTGTGAAAATCCTACCTCAATTAAATTAATCGAAGGAAGATTGAATTTTTGCAAAACTTATTGATTTCAGATCAAAAGAGAAAAGTATTATGAAGAAAGGGCACTTTAATATCTAAGCTGAAATGAATAACATTGATTTAATTATTCTTCAAAATGAAATAATTATGGTATTTCAGGTGCCCCAATAATTATGTGGGCCAAAAGCAGAACAGAGACAAAAATAGTTGTCAAAAAAACTTTTATTAACTTGCATAATGAACAGTCACGATTAGTAAGTCACATCCAATCATAATTCAACTACATTAATGAAGGTATCAAGGAAGAAAATTAAATTAATAACATAAGAATGAGCTTCTTATGAAGTCTAAATTCTACTTTTTCAGGATCGCTAAATTTTTTACTTGAATCTTATGTTACCTTTAAATTCTTTTAAGATTAATCTTAATTGTAAATGACAGTTGACTTTCCATCAGTTAGCTCCTCTCATATGATATATTTTTTTTCGGACATCTTGGTATATCTGGTTTTCTTCTTCTTTTATATCTGAAGAGATTAGCAATACAAAGAAATGACTTTGAGTTTTTTTGAACTATAGGACGTCCAATATATGATTAAGAAGATAATTGTCTAAAATCAAACATCTAGCATTAGGTTCCAAAATGAAAAGAAAAATCAAGGATTATAAAAGAGAAATTATCAAAATTAGGATCAGGAATTAAAGTTTATCTTAACCCTGAGGAGAAAGAGGATTCGAATTGGTATCATTTCTTGATAAAGAAAAGGAGATTAGAAAATTAGTTAGTTGGATGTTAGTTTTTATGCTACCGTAAAACTGTAATTGCCTTAGGTAATTTATTGTTCCATTTATTTTGGAGTATGTTGGTAGGATCAAATTTTAGTGTAACAAATAGAGTAAAAGATTTTAAAATTCAAAGAATGGCAATCAGATAAATGATTTTTTCAAATTATGAGTTATATTAAAATGAGTTTATATGAATTAGATTTAATAATTAGGGAAGGATTACATTAATTAATTCAATTTTACTGGCTTAGAAATAGTTAGAATCCATTTGAATTTTCTAATAGAATCAAAGAATTAAGATTTTTTGTATTTTTACAGAATATGATAGCCAATTCTTAAATGTCCATTATAGAATACTAATTACTAAATATCCCTTTTGTTTGAATTCAATTCATACTTCCAAAATCATATTATTTTGATATATTAGAAGAAAAATTAGAATTTCTTCTTTCATAATTATAATAATAAATGTAATAATTTTCATGATTGCTAATACGTTCTGATTTGTATTTGTTTTGATTTATTATCCCAAGTGATCAAATACTCTCCATTATCACTCATTCCTCCATATGATGAATATGTATTAAAATGAATAGATTATTGAGTTAGAAACTGCCCATTTAATGTTTTTCTTATCAAATTGACATATTCGCCATTCTTACTCACAAGGATGTATTTTGAATGTATAAGTTATTAAGGAAATAAAGTACAACTATCTGATCCACATTTTACATGAATATCTTTAGTCTTTGTAAACTATTCATTTATACTGTTCATCTCAAAGATAGATATCTATTCTTTCCCATGTTCTGATAATGTGAACATATTATGATCTATGAAGCATACTCGCCGTGCACTCTATTCAAGTGTAATCTTTTATATGACAATCCATTCTTTAATCAGTCCTTATTGTTCCATTATGAAGATGGAGGTATCCCAACCACAAGATAGCACTCTATTTTATTATTAATTCAAACTCAAACCACATACATTACTTGAATGAGCTGTAATTGTTTAGTAACACGACCATTCA